CCACTCTGTTCTGGTCACACTGGTATCCTGGCTTTCTGTTACACCTGCCAGGCCCACTCCCATCTCAGACTTCCTACCTGGGACACTTTTACTTGGCCAACACCTTCGCTTCAAGTCTTTGCTCAAATCTCACTGTCTTAATGAAATCCAGATATTCTATTCTATTTAATAATGTGAGCTGCTCTCTCAACAAACTTCCTATTCTTGTTTTTTTTATTTTATCCCATACTACTTAGAATAATCCAACATTGTTGCTGTTCTGATATTGTACTGATTAAAATGTCTATCTCCCACATTGTGATGGCAGAGATATTTACCAGTTGTCCAATGTTTTCTATACCCAGAACAATGTCCAACCCACAATTGTAATCACCAAGTGCTTTTGATCACTCTCTTCTAAATTTTGACAATACTTTTTTTTTTTTTGGAGTATAAGAGAAAAGGAAAACCAGTAAATCTCCAAAGTAGTCAAAGCTTGCTCACTACGTTGCTATTACCACAGTAGATTTCCCACCAAAGCTGACTGATCATCTTTGCAGGATTAGACACATACTTTTCAGGAGCCATTTATGATTCTCACACAACCAAGCCAATAAGACTAAAGATAGAATAGGGATGCTAAGTTATTTTAGATTTAAAATAGAACTACAAAGGGGACCAGATATCCACAGCCATAAAAATGTATTCATTTTCTGTGCAAGCTACATGGAGATGCAGGTTACAAACGGAAGACTTGGAGTCCAAACAAGCATTTAGACTTTGGATATCTGATAGTCTCTGACTCTAACTTACCTTTCTCTATTAAAATATATTTTCTACAATGTAGGCTGATTGAGAGCATGGGTAGGGCACTCTCAGTCTTAGTGGAGAGACTGAGCAGAGTGTCCTGGAACCCCTAAACTTTCATGTTCTATAGGAATTCTGCCATCCACCACATAAAGAATGATTGTGCACAGAGAGGGAAGAAGACAAAGAAATATTTCCCCAGTGAAACACTTGGCTACCCATGCCCTCATGGTCAAATGCCCAGCCAAGTAGGTTGGTCCAAAGCAGGACTACTAAGGCCCAAAAGCTTGTCAGAAGTCTAAGGCACCTTTTGGTGGTAGCCCATAGAAAAGGCATAGAAGTGGTGAGGCAAGTCTGGGACAAAAGGAGCAAAATCAAATTATAAATCAAGATAATAGCTGCCATTGTCAGTCTCCCCACGTGTCTCCCACGCTTGTCTCTCCCAAATGTCTCTATATGTCTCAACTCCCTGTGTAGGACAAAGTTGAGAAGCAAGTGTGCACTCTTTCACATGTCTCTCTGCTCCATGGTCTCCCCTCATGTAACTCCTCCAAAATCTTCTGTCCTTTCACCTGGCCACTCAGTTCCACCCCTCATTATATGGGTGGAGACCTGGAACCTCCTCTAGTTTTAGAGATTTCTCTGCTACATCTCTACACAATGTTTATCGGTCTCTCCAGAACTATTCATTCACTACATTTTTTGAACATTTCCATGGGTCATGTCAGAAGTAATCTCTGAAGATGCAAGTCATACTTTGTCATCTATTTCCAATGTATGGGTTTTTTCTCCCCACCACAAAGCAATCATCCAATGCCAGTTGGATGTCCTGCAACTCAAACCTGCCACTAGTTACCTAGCAATCTTGCCAGATCCCATAGGTTAAGTCCCACAAGACTATACCACTCACCCCACTTGAGTCAACTGTACATGACCCCCCATCAATCAAAACATCCTTGCTTTCAGTTAATTTGCTAGAGTTAGTCACAGAGAGGAAACTTTTTTTTAAAAGATTTATTTATTTATGCATACAGAACTGGGGTGAAGGCCAGAGGAGCAGAGGCGGTAAGAGGATTCACCAGAGACAGAGTGGGGAACAGACAGGCAGATCGACGAAGTACACTGCTGAGGGAAGCAGTGGGTGGGTCAGGAGAGGTCTGCTGCACCATGTGGGTCAGCTCCCTGGCGGGGATCAAACTTGTGCTGAAGCAGCTAAGGCTAGCTTCATTGTGCTGTGCTTAACTCTTCATTGTGCTGTGCTTAACTCCTTGCACCACTGGGGAGGGCCGGCAACTTTTACTTACTAGGTTACCAGTATACTTCAAAAGGATGTAACGAACAGAAGGAAAAGATGTACAGGGCAAGGTATGGGGTAGGGAAGGAGCTTTCTGAGCTTTGCTGGCACCACCCTCCCCCAGGCTCCCTATATCCACCAACCTGGAAGCCCTTTGAAGCTTGTTCTTTTGGATTTTTGAGGCAGCTTCAATGCACAAGCCCTTGGTGATTGATTCAACCTCCACTCTTCTCCCCTCACCAGAGGTCTGGGATTAGAACCAAAAGTCCCAACCTTATGATCACAGGCTTGGTTACCCTGGCAACCAGTCTCCAGTCTAGGTGCTTCCAAAGGGCACAGCGTTAACATAACAAAAAACATCTTTTTCTAATAAAGTCTAAGGGTTTTAAGAGCTCCTTGCCTGAAAGTTGTGACTGTGTCAGCAGATTGAACCCTCTTCTCGAACCTGCTTCCCCAGAGTTGGCTGCTCTATTTCAGAAGGTAAAGACTGTCAACTATCGATCCCAAATACAGAAACGACTGCCACACTAGCAATATAACTCATGGGTTATCTATGATAGTATAAAATTGTGATAACTGGTTTTGATTTATCAAAACATTCTAAGGGAGAAAAAGAATGTCTTTCGTGACTAAGCCTGTCTGAGTTTGAAACAGTAACCAAAATTTCCAGTTAACACAAGTAAGTGAAACCAAAACAGCCCTCAGATCTTCTGTCCTTGCCTTTCCAAAGCCAGCCAGACTGAAAGCCCAGCTATATCAGTTGTCAATTTGCTCAAATTACTTTCCAATGCGCTTAACTCACTCTTATGTACTTAAACACTTGTCTATTTTAATTTTGTCATTTTGACTGGAACTTTGGACTTGGGGTCTGGGGGTGGGGTGAGGTAACTAAGATTCGTGGTCCAGGTAATCAATCAGTACCAGAATTCTGCTCAGACCTCAAAGAGACTGCATCTAGGAATGTACTCAGCCTTTCTCTATGGCCAATACTCAGAAACTATGACATGTCTTGATGGAGATATAATGGACTATAAAACCTCTAAATATTATTTCAACTTTGATCCTGCTGCACTCAGATGCAGGTTTCATGTGAGGTAGGCTTATTCTTTTCCTACATGGTCTTTTATCAGTTTCCAGAAAATCAATATAATTTATGTTGGAAAAAAGCTAATAATAGATTGTTTCCCTCCTCTTCTTGATCCCATTTTTGCCCCCTTCCTAATCAATTTTCATTTTTTCTAATGTCAAGTTGCAGCTTTTAAGGACCCAGTAGTGTGATAATAATACTTTTCAAAAAGAAAGGAGTAAATTGGCTAATCTTGGATATCATGCTTTTTTCAAACTGATTTTTAGTGTGGGACATTCTGGAATGGATTAGTGACCATTTATCATAATTGTCTTAAGTGCTTCAGTTGGGCCATGGGTGCCCAGATATTCTGGCTCTCCAGGTACAGCTCAAGTAGTAAGAGGCCTGTGCTTCAGTTTCTGATCCTTTTGAAAGAGACTTTAAAACTGACTCCCTAGAGGGGCCCTCCCTGGTGGCTCAGCGGGTTAAAGCACAGCACTGAGAAGCTAAAGCCACTTCCACATGAGTTCTATTCCCGCCTGCCCCAGAGGTGACCAGATGGTGTGGCAGACCTCTCCTGACCCGCCCGCTGCTCCCCTCAGCAGTGTACTTCGTCTATCTGCCTGTTCTGTTCCCCATTCTGTCTCTGGTGAAGCCTCTCACCACCCCTGAGCCTCTGGCCTGTACCCCAGCTCTGTATGCACAAATAAATAAATCTTAAAAAAAAAAAAAAAACTGACTCCCTAGAGGGCCCTCCCTGGTGGCACAGCGGGCTAAAGCACAGCACTAAGAAGCTTAAGCCACTTCGCATGAGTTCGATCCCCGCCTGCCCTGAGGAGATCCACATGGTGTGGCAGACCTCTCCTGAACTGCCTGCTGCTGCCCTCAGCAGTGAACCTCGTCGATCTGCCTGTTCTGCTCCCCACTCTGTCCCTGGTGAATCCTCTCACCCTCCACATCTCTGGCCTGTACCCCAGTTCTGTATGAATAAATAAATAAATCTTAAAAAAAAACCAAAAAACTGGCTCCCTAGATCCTTAGCAGCCCAGAAGACATTAGTGGTCAAGTTCTAATACATTTGTCTTATATGTCATTTTTCTTTTTAAAAAAAAAAATATTAATAGGACTGGAAAGGGCTTTGGGTTTGTTTTCCCCTAAAAATAGTTTATTTTTGAGAAATTTGCTGAAAATTCTTTTAGTTTTGTTATGGAAGCTCCATTATGTTTTTGTTTCCTTAGAGCTTTATTTTGGTGTTTTCTTTTTAGTTAACTTTTTCATATTTTACATGTTGTTCACTTGTGAACAGTATTTGATTTCTCCCCTCAGATGTAATCCCCATAAGCACCCCACCATCACATCACTGAGAACAGATTTGTTTATAATCAGAATTTCTTAAAAAACAAAGGTGTTTTCATATCATACTTAAAACTTAAGAAGAAATGTGAACTCCTTGCATATTGTTGTTGTACTTCTGAAGACTTGCATTTTATTTGATGCCCTTTTAAAAATATGTAGTCATACATGTTAAAAAGAAAAAAATCAAATGAATTAGAATCCAGTCCTAGGTCACTCTTACCTTCTATGATTAGTAAGGTGGCTGTTACCTGGGACAGGGGCCCCTCCCCTCTCACTGTTTCCTAATCCCTGTGGTGACCCCACTGTCCACACCACCCAGGATATGGTGGTGCCTTTCTAAACACGAAATTAAAGTGGAACCAGCCCTTTGAAACAGAGATGTAGACGAGACCTTAATTATTCAAGATCCCTATTATTAATGAATGCACTTTTGAGAGCCCTTAAAACCAGTGGGGGCTTAGGCATCACAGTTTGGCATGCTGTTGCTGGGCAGTCCGAACATACCTCACATCGCCACCGAGTGCCACGTCTGGAGCTGTTCTCATGCAATGTCTCCCTGTTCCAAAACTACCAAGTAACTTCAGTATTTGACTAAACTCCTTCTCCAAGGAAACGAGGAAAGGTAATGAGCTTCTGAGGTACACAGTATCTCCAGCTGGCACAGCGTGGGGGGTGGGCATAGGGGTGAGTGTGAGTGGGCGTGGGAGGGCATGGGGCAGTTTGTGGGGGGGATGTGGGGTGAGTGTGTATGGGTGTAGGGGTGTGGGGCACATAGGGGTGAGTATGGGAGCATGGGGGGGCGAATGTGAGTGGGCGTGGGGGGGTGTGGGGGTGGGTGTCTTGTCCTACATCCAGCTAAGGTGTCCCAGAGGCTTCAGAAGAGCTCGCAGGAGCATTTGTACAAAGAAGAATTCTGACCTGATGTTCCTTGTACAAAACAAATCTTACTTTGAATTTTGGGGGAACTTTCGAGTTTTTAGTTAGTCTGGGATTATCATCATTACTATATTTTTAAATAATTTGTGTAATCAGTTTTTGCTTTAGTTTCTTTGTGAAACGTTACCATACGTGCCTTCATTAATTTAAATTTAATTATTTTATGACTTTTTCAAAACAATTTTCAATTGCTCTTAAGAAATGTCTTTCTGGAAAAGATGTGTAAGGTTTTCTTACAGGATAACCCATTCTTTTTATTGAGGGTGTGTGTGCGTTTGAACAATAATTACAGCATAAAAAAGGTAGCTGATTACTTTTTTTTTTAAAGATTTATTTATTTGTTCATACAGAACTGGGGTACAG